AGGAGATRGCTGGGGGTGTTTTTGTGCAGCTGCACAAGGGGCAAAAGGAAAGAATAAAATGTGTGTTTGTGTGTGTACGTGCGCATGTATGGCTGCACATACATGTGCATACAGATGAGTAGTTCACATATGTGTACACATGAAGAAAGTATAGGTATGTGGGTGCATGGGTGCATCTGCTCATGCGTTCACATGCATGTATGCAGCATGTGCACAATTGTGAGACTGGATGTGTGTGCATGGGTGTATGCATACAGGCATTTGTTGTGCATGCAAATGTGCAAATGCAGCATGTGCATGTTTGCGTGGACAGACATGTCTAGTTAACTCGGTTTGAGACAATGTTTTCAGAGAGAAATGTTACGGGATAAATGTTTCCTCTGCAGTCAAAAAGTTTGATAATTTTCCCCACCAATACGAAACAGCTGTTTGGGCGAATGTGAAGAGAAAAATAGTTTATTAACAAAACAAGGTGCCCACAGGACACAGATTAAAAAAAAAAAATGAGTAACTGTTGGATATTTAAAAGGCCAGGAACGCATGCCACCCCCTTCCCCCACAGCCACTTGGCACGTGGTAGGGAGAAAGATGGCACAGCTCTTGTCCCAGGGAAAAAAGAAACAAAAGAAAAGTCCACATGGCCACTTGGGCAGCAGTGGAAACCTGGTGGTAGTCCTCTCCTCACTGAATGAAACAGAGGGCTTGGTGTGCTTTTCTGTTGCCGGCTTGGCTTCTCCGGAGTCTGGGAGACGGAGTGGTGCCCGTGGCTTGTCCCCACAAGCCCTGTCAGCTGGTTGGCAGTTGCCTCCCGGTTCTCAGACCGAAGCCCCACCGAATTGCTCCAGAAGAAAATCACAGGAGCCACGGAAGGGGTGGCAGTCCAGGGAGAGCTGTTTGCCCAAGCTCACAAACCCAAGCTAGCTAAGCAGCAACAATGTAACTCCACTGCACACAGTGAGCTGAACTCTCACAGCATCCAGCAGAGCTCCCAACACTCAGCACCCACAGCACCCCGGCTTTTAACTGCCCGTGCTGCCTTCCCAGCTGCTCTTGCCCCTTCTTCTGGGTCTGATTTAAAGGCACAAGCACATTTTGGGCATACAAGCAGACGGAATATAGGAATTGAGTGTTATCATAAAATTAACCCAAGACACTAGTTGTGTGTGTTCATATGTGTGTGCATGTTCATACTTATGTCTGCGTGCATGTATGTGCTTGCACATGTGAATGCAAGCGTGCATACCATTGTGCATGCATGAGCACAGGGGTGCATTTTCACGGTTGTTCATGTGCACATTTGTGCATGTGTGTACAGGTTTGGGTGTACATGTATGTGTTTGAATGTGCATGCATGGGCAGTCATGTATGTGTACACACAAGTGTGCACATCTGTGTTACAAATGTCAATGTGCACTGCATTTGCATGAGAACCTGCACATGTGAATGTGAATTGTGTATTTGTGCATGTCCATGTATCTGTGTGCAAATGTGTTTGTGTGTGAGTTCTCATGTGTGTGCATGTGCACAAATGCTCAGGCAGGTGTGTGCACGCAGGCAGGTGTGTGCATGCAGCTGTGTCTTGCATGCGTGTTTGCATTCCCATGCATGAATGTGCAGGTGTGAGTGTGCACCCCTTTGTGTGAATGTGCTTATGCACATATGTGTGCAAGTGTGTGTGACTATGCAGATGTACGTGCACACACAAACATGTGCATTTCTCATGTATGCGCACAGGTATGTGTGACTACACATGCATGTGTATGCACACATGGATGTTTTGCACATAGGTATGTGGGTATGTGACCAAGCATGCAGGTGATGCCTGAAAAAGGCCTAGAAANCAGGTGTGTGCACGCAGGCAGGTGTGTGCATGCAGCTGTGTCTTGCATGCGTGTTTGCATTCCCATGCATGAATGTGCAGGTGTGAGTGTGCACCCCTTTGTGTGAATGTGCTTATGCACATATGTGTGCAAGTGTGTGTGACTATGCAGATGTACGTGCACACACAAACATGTGCATTTCTCATGTATGCGCACAGGTATGTGTGACTACACATGCATGTGTATGCACACATGGGTGTTTTGCACATAGGTACGTGGGTGTATGACCAAGCATGCAGGTGATGCCTGAAAAAGGCCTAGAAACACTCTAGACCGGTGTCTATAGAGCAGGTATTTGTTTATTGTAGCGCTGGTGCAGTGCTGGAGGTGAGGGGGATTTCTCCTCCTGCCTTCGCTTCAAATTAGCACATATTTATACAGTAAGCATGGTGTAACATTACCATTGTCACTAGGCCCCCCATACATCTACCACTATATATAGGCACGGAAATATGTGATATCACAGTTTTACAAATGTGCCTGTGTCATCCTCAATTCGGTGGTCGTGGGGGTCTCCCTCTAATGAAATGCCACCATCTTCATCATAGTGGACTTTTCACCTTTGTCATCAGGGCATGCGCAGTTGTGATGTTCATGGTTTTTTCTAGCCCTTCAAGTCTTCATTTTCTATTATTTTGCTGACTATCCTGTGCCTCTGCCAAGTTCTCATTAGTGCTCTCTGCTGTTCCTTGTTATAGCATCTACCTGTCTACTTTCTTCAGAACGTTTTCTGATTTATGCTCCTTGGTGATTTTTATTTGTTTATGTACTAATCCAGCTGGTTGGATTACATCCAGCTGATACACATTGTATGTTGCTAATACCCTACATAAAAACTTATAACAATATATGAAAAGGCTATTATTGATAATATATTGAAAGCTATTACACTGTATATTGATAATATTAAAAAAAAGTTTATAGAAAGTTTTCAATCATAGGCCTCATAAGCACCTTGTCACTTTGACATAAACCATGGGTATCACAGGTATGTCTCCACATAAATGTATACAACTTGCCCATGTGTGTGCAGCTGTGTGACCATGCATGTGTGTGCACACACAGGAGAGGAGTGTGTTAGGTTTGCATGTGAGAGAGCCCAATCTGAGTTTTGTTTATGCCTCCACATGTGTTATGTGCTGGGAGCTCTGTCCCTTGGGAGGTTTTGCCTGCAGCCAGTCATGGCACAGACATCATCCCCTACTCTCTGTGCTCTGCCCCCCTTGCTGGTGTGTCAGATGCTCAGATGCCCGGGAAAAAAACGCGCGGGAAACCACGCTGTAAGAGGGCGAGGCATATAAAACCAGCTAACTGCGACACAAGGGGGCCATTTTCCTTTTGAGTTCCTGGAGGGAGCAGGGACCCGCCTGGAGGGTCACCTTGGCCTTCCCCGCTCCCTCGCTTTTCCTTTTCTTTTCTCCTTGTGGTGCTGCCTTCCCAGTTCGCACCTATCCTGCCTGTGTGCTCTGTTTTGCCACTTCCCGAGGCAGCTCGACCCTGCAACAGCCTCATGTTTGATGTCTTCTCGACGGCGTGGGTCCCGCAGCAGCCAGCCTGTCCACAGCCGTGTGTCCGGCAGTGCCCACAGCCCCACCCTGTCCACAGCCGTGTGTCCGGCAGTGGCTGCAGCCGCCGCAGCTACCCACGAGTGTGCCCGTAGCCACGGCAATGTGTTCTCCGCCGACGGGAGTGTCACGATCCGCTGGAATTGAAGCGGAGGTCGTGATAGGTTCTTTTTGGAATCTCAGAGTGCAAAAGAAAACGAGAAGGCAAATGTATATGCTTCAAATAATCAGAGACAATTTATTTGGGTATTTTGCGATAGAAGAGGGTGTGTGTGTGACAGAGAGAGAGAGAGAAAGAGAGAGAAAGAGAGAGAGAGGGGGAGAGAGAGAGAGAGAGAGAGAGAGAGAGAGAGAGAGAGAGAGGGGTCATATAGCTACCAGCTGAGGAGGTCTTCCAAGGTCCCACGATGGTGGTCAGTCAGTTGGTAGGGAGATCTCAACGGGGTCTTCTCGGAGGAGACTTTTTATAGTCTTTTTCAAAGCTAGTGGCTGCAGGCCAGGAGGGGATTGCGAAGCATGGGAAGCCGGCCAGGCGATGGCGAAAGAATGTCTATTGTTAAGGTGTGCAGCATGAGCAGCGGCCTGCACCGTTCTCCTCAGGAACGGTGCGATCATCCATAGCTCACATCCATTGTTCTCAGCAGCCTAGGAGCTGGAAACTTGGCAGTCCTTCCACCTTGACCTGGCTCAGACTCCTTTGAGCAAAAGCCCCCTTTCTCCCGCCTTGGGGTTTAGTCAATAATCGCGAGACAGTCCAGGGTCTTCCATACGGTCTCTTACAGGGAGGGACACGCAGCTGCTCCTGTCTGGAAATTGTGCCCAGCCCGTCTTGGGAGCCGCACAGGCTCCTCGCAGCTCACAGCACACACACTCCTTCAGCCGAGCTGACGCCGACGGGGCGCCCGGGTACAGCGGTAAAAATCTGTCTGCTGTTCTGTCTCTCTCCGTTTCTCTTTTTCCCTCTTTGTTCCCCTTTCTATTCCCCCGTGGTAAGAAGTGGTAGGAACACTTACCCTTCTTTATCAATAAACAGTTCTCAGATATAATATTGCTGCGTTTCTGCTTTATTTTTTGTCCGAGAAATCTATGAAAAGAATCCTTCTCGACTCCCTCCTTTCACAGCAGGACGGGACAGCATGTCTGGCACATGTGTGTGCAGGCGTGTGTGTGTCCAGGTGTGTACCAAGTATGCAGCTCTGTGCGCACATGGGCTACATGAGCGTGTCACACACACGCCACGTATGTGTGTGCAGCTGTGCAGTTCTGTAGCAGTGCAAGTGTGCACACACATGCATGCCTCAGATGTGTATTTTGCAGGTGTCTTTGACCCCGCACGTCAAGTGAATGCGCGCATAGCCGCCTTCTACATGTGTGTGCAGGTCGGCGACCAAGCATGCGTGTGCACACAGATATTGGTGTGTTTCACATGTGTTTGCTCATGTGTGTTGCAGGTGTGTCACACTCGTGTACGTGCCCCGCTCGTGTGCCCGCCTAAGTCCCGCCCCTGCGTCCGCTCCTGTGCCCGCCCACGGCTGCGGGGCGGAGCGCGGGCTCGGTGCGATCGCGGTGCGGCGCTCAGGGCGCGGAGCGGTCGCTCCCGGCGCGGGGCCGCCATGGCGTGGCCCTGCATCACCCGCGCCTGCTGCATCGCCCGCTTCTGGAACCAGCTGGACAAGGCGGACATCGCCGTCCCCCTCGTTTTCACCAAATACTCGGAGGCCACCGAGCATCCCTCCGCCCCCGCTCCCCCCCCGCGCCCCGCGGCCCCCATCGAGACCCAGCCCGGCGGCGAGGCGGCGGCGGGAGGCGCAGGGGGTGAGCCGGCTCCCGGTCCCGCCCGGCCCGGCCCGGCCCCTCACGCCTCTCCCCCGGTCGACTCGGTCATGCGGCATGACTACAAGCCCTGGAAGGTGCAGCGGCCGGAGCCGAGCTGCAAGCCCAAGAGCGAGTACCAGCCCTCGGACACTCCCTTTGAGAAGGAGACGCAGTACCAGAAAGATTTCCGTGCCTGGCCCATCCCCAAGCGGGGCGACCATCCCTGGATCCCCAAACCGGGACCTTCCCCCGTTCTGGCCCTGGATCGCTCTTCCCCGGAGAAATCGGCTCAGGAGAAGCGGCGGAAGGTGCACATCAGTGCCGAAAAGAAGGAGGAAGACCCCGAGGTGGAGGATGAGCATCCCAAAACAGTGCGGGCCTGGGATGGGAGAGAGAAGGGTCGGAAGAAGGCGGAGGAGGCGGGCGGGCAGCCGGCGGAGCCGAGCAGGGGCCGGGCGGCCGCCGATGCTCTCAATAGGCAGATTAAGGAGGAGGTAGCGGCGGGGGTCAGCTCGTCCTACAGGTGAGACATTCCCTCCTCCCCCCGTCCCCCGCCGCCTCCATCTAGATCCCCAAGCTGCTGTCTGGGGGGGATGTGTCCTTAAAATTCCCCATCTCTCTGGGGATCGATGATGGGGTAGTAGCTATTGTGCAGGTAGTGAATGGATGGACGCTGTCGGGTGGGTTGGCAGCAGGTTTGAGTGTCATTGTGTTTCCCCCCATCCACCGCATCCCAAAATTCAGAGACACCCACTAATTTGGATTTCCACAGGGTTAATTTGTGGGGTCACCTCTGTGGGATGTGCAAGTCACCTCCGGTCCTTTCCAAGCACATCCCTGGCTGTCATGCTGCAGACAACCCTAAAGACCAGCATGCTGACCGCATCCCAGGGGACCCATGCATTAGTGGGGTGCCCCACACGCAGCAGCATCCCAGGAAGCATCCCGGGCTGGCCACCCYCAAGACAAAGCATCCCAGGGATGCGCCAGGACGAGGGACACGCATCCTAGGCCGCTTGGGTGGGGCAGCCTTCGGATGCTGCCATGTTTTAACACAGCGCAGCCAGGGATGACACATCCTTCTGCTCCCCACCACCACCTCCCCCACCAACTAGAAATGGATGCCCTTATTTCACCTCAGCAATAGACCTTGTTTGGGATTTGGAGCGTGAAACTCCTTGCAGAAAGCTGCTGTTGTTGTTTCTCTCCGGGTGAAGGGATTGGATGTGTTGGGAATGCTAAACAAAAGTGATGGGGTGGTTGCCCTGCGTGTACGTTTGCAAGGAGGGTTTTGCTGCCGTTGTGTTTTCCAGTGCTTTCTTTGGCAGAACCCACCGCTGCCGAGACCAGGGTGGAGATGGCAGAGAGCAGAGCTGGRGGTTGTGGTGACAAAAGTGTGATTGCAGTCTTTTTGCTTTTCCCTGTAGCTGTGTGAATGCTGAGGTGTTTATGCCTTTGAGTGATTAATTTTCCTCCTTGGGGAGATTTAGAGGTGACACCTGGCCATCAAACAGGTAATACATTCATGTAGATTTAAGATTAAGCTGGGACTTGACTCTTCTGTCCTACTGGTAGCTGTGTGGCACAGCAAAGCTGACAGCCCTCTGCCTCCTCCCTGAGTGGGAAATGGTTCAAGCAGTGAGATCTTGATTTTTGCTGTCCTTTGGCATCAGCCCTAGCTCTCACTGGGTGATGCTGGAGGCTGAGGTGCATCCAGGTCTGACAGTGGTGCTTGGCTGACATACAAGAAAATGGCCAGGGATTTTCAGGGGCTTTGTTTTGCAGGGGTGGGAACTGTGGGAAAGGGGTTTCCAGGRGTGACACAGCCCTTAAATCTGCTGTGATCTGAGACTCAGCTTTTTGTCTGCTCACCTTTCAATGTCTGAGCTCGTGCTGGGGATGGCAGGGCTAAAGCAGAAAGCTCTCCTGGAACTGGAAAACTGATCTGTTGCTTCTTTTCCACTGCTACAAAGGGTAAATAGGCTTATTTGCGTATTTAAATGCAGATTGCTCACCTTCCTATCCCTCCAGTTAGCTCCAGCAAATTCCTAAGGCACGGGGCTGGGATTCCTCCTCAAGGAAAGGTGTTGGAATTAGCTGGGATGTTAAACCTGAGAAGAATTGGAAGGATTCAGCTCTGTGTTGCTTGCTGGCTTTCACAATACTCTTGGGATTTCTCTTTCTATTTGGGAAAGTCGTCTTCCACTTCCATGTTTTTCTTGCTTGCCACATATCGCAGAAGTGTTTGCTCTGACACTCAGCCCTGGAACATAAGCGCCTCTTCATTAATGCCTAAGAGATGTTTTGGCTAATTGTTCTTRTTTTCTATTCAAATTAGGCTTCTTCTAAGTGTTGTTTATTGTTTGGGTTCTTTCTAAAATATAAATTCTCCAAATCCATGCTACTGCTAAGAACCTGGCTGCTGCCCTACTGGGTGGGTATCTCCAAGGATGGAGACTCTAYRGGCTGTTGGGGTAACCTTGTGGGCTACCCAGCAGTCAATTACCTCCTAAAAACCTCTGGCTAGAGAGGAGCAAGGATGGCACACATGGGGCTTTTCTTCCTTGTGTATGGATGAAGGCTCACCAGCAGCAGAGTAGGAGGAAGATGTTCTTACAGTCTTTGCCACTGCTGCAAATCAGTGTAATGTGATGCTTCAAGGCTGGGAAACAATTCCTTGGTGAAACCAAAGAGCAGACCAACAATAGTTTTTAAGTTTGYGGTGTCCAGCTGGGATAACTTCCATGTGAATAATACTGAGAACGTGGTATAAAGTAAGCAACTAGCCCAAGGTCGTGGGCGAAGTCCATACTAAAGGGAAGAATTCCCTTTTTTAACCTCTGTATGCTAAGACACATGAATATTGCAGAGACCAYGTGCCTGTGACCTCTTTCCAGGTCTGCCCAGAGGTACAGAGCAGAGGTGTTGCCTGGTGGTGATGTCCATGGAAGATGGAGGCTCCTCCCAGCCAGAGGGATGCATGATTTGTTTGCATTAACATTTGAGCCAGGAGCTGTCAGTGAGGCCAGAGTGGCAGGACTCTGGRTGTCTGCCAGAAACTGCCTATGCACAGAATAAATCGGATTTATTTCCAATATTTCTAGTACGGCTTTGTCTATTCATAGTATTTACATTATATTTTTGTATGTATATATTTATTAACTATTCACTTACACATGGAATTTGTTTATGTACTTATTCCCACTGCTGTCACTGTGTGTGACTTGGTGTGACACAGGTTCCTGCAATGAGGGGTTTCTTGCCTCAGTTTCTGTCTCCAGCACATGTGCTGCCCAAGTTTACAGGTAACCAAGGCAGATTACATCTCCTTCACCCCCGCCTCTTCTCTCTATTCCTGCTTCTCAGGGTGGCCTGTGGACCCTGAGGGACTAAGGACCAGGGAATCCTTCAGTCAGATCAGTGACTAGCCCCTTGGAAGGGTGCTGCTGGTGGATGGAGCTGTTTCTTGTTCAGTTCTCTGATGTCCCCTAGGAAGATGTGGTGGCATCACTGAGGGCTTTATCTATATTGGGCACAGAGGTGGCCCCAGTACTGGAGTACTTGAGAGGGAATTTCTCCCCCTGAACTTCTTGAAGGGATGGGCAGAGCACTTCTCCCTGCTCTGGAGGAGGATGGAGTGGACTGGACTTGACCCTGGGAGTTTGGAACCAGAGAGAGCAGGCAACAAAAYGTGCAGACAGTGGCATTTGCTGGTGGATGTGGAACAATTAGAAGCACATTTGGCAAAAATGAAAGAAGAAATGAATGAATACTTTGCATTTTTATTTGGAAATTATGGAAAAATGCCACAGTTAGGTATTTCTTGGGTGTTTCTTCTTCATTGTCTTCATCTTCTTTAGTCTTCGTCTTCATCTTGCATTCTGCTTCTTTGGTTACCTTTATTCCCTGGAGAAAAAATACGCAAAAGGGAAAGGAACCACTTCACCCCCTTTGTAAGGTGTAAAAATGAGTACTAAGGCAATGAATTTCCCCCTGAGAAGTAATATTGCAAAACCAGATTTTTTTTAACAAACCTATTATTTTTTCCCTCCCATCAACTTCCTTTTCTAGCAGAGGAAACAAAACAAAGGCTTCGGTGAGAAATTTGGACTGCCTCATTAGTAGTATTAAAGAATTGTCTGTTGCTAATGTTCTGTCATTCATCTCAAAACCTAGAGGTACTAAAGATGTGGAACAAATGAGAATTTGTAGCACCTATAGAGATTAATGAGTCAGGACTGGAGATTTGCTGTGTGGTTTYCAGACATACAGAGGAGATAATTTAGGGAGGGATGTCCACACAGGAAGGCTGGACYGAGATACACATGGGCAGGAAATTCATACTCTCCTTTATTCTGGAGACAGGCTGGGAGAGCTGGGGTTGTTCAGACTGGAAAAGAGAAGGTTCTGGAGAGACCTTAGAGCTCCTGCCAGCAGGGGAATGGAACAAGATGAGCTTTAAGGTCCCTTTCAACCCAAGCCATTTYGTGTTTCTGTGATTTTGTCTAACCTATTCTTGAGTATTAAGATTGCTTATGCTGTGAGATGGGAAATTTTCCATTGCCTTCTGAAATTTCTGATCAGATCCATGGACTATGTCCGTACTAGTAAATTAAAGAGTCCCAGGACATGTTCCTGGGTTTGGAAACATGATCATGTACATTCCAGTTCTTGGAATTGTCCCTTGCCCCCTTCTCAGACTCAGTTTGGTAGCACCCACTCCCAAGCCAAGAACTTATCCCTACAAGCGGTTTGTGTGCAACCACCTTGGATTTAGAGATTAAAGAGGTTTAGTTGCATGAGTGAGGGCTGTCCCAGACTCCACTGCCTGAGCACATTTCTGGGCACATACCATTCCTCAGTTGTTTCAGCTATGAGAGTGTTTATTAAGGTAACTGTGTAGGCATATGATCGAATTCTCTTCTCAGGTGAAAGGGAAGGGGCAGAATGTTTTCTTCTGTCCAGAAAAGGCTGTTCAGAGAGGTGTTTGGCGGCTTTGGCTATGGTTGAGCTCAGTCACAGGGTCGTGTTTAACAGCAGCAGGAGACACAAAGTCTGCTGATACCACAGGGGGCCAAATGTATGAGAAACGAATGAATAATGGCCCTGGTGTTTACTGAGATGCAAAGAGCATGGAGATGGGGATGCAGGCAGAGAGCTATTCTGCCRTGCTTTWGATCTCCTCTGGATGTAGTCCATCRGCTGAGAAAGACTGGTGGTGTCTCCAGGTTTGGGACACTTGGTGGTAGGAGTCTCCAAGTTGCAGTATGTCCCAATGTATTCCCTGCCATCAGTTTAAGGTGGACAATGTTCAGCCCCAAAAGCCAACTGGGAGCTGCTTAACAGTGTAGGCAAGACTGAATTTTGCTGCTTTGGCTGTGTGCAAGCTGGAGCTGATCTGTGCATGCCTTAGGATGGGGTGGAGCAGGAGGAAAAGGTGGAGGTGGCATTCAGGTGGTGGATCAAACATGCTTGAGCAATTTTTCCTCTGCTCCTGCTCAGCTGGGTCWTCTCAGAGGGACC